CTAGGTAGTTGCCGACTTGCAACGCCTCAGCTCAATGATTTTAAAATCCAACTTTTCTAGTTGACAATTAGATGCGCTTGTACACCATACCGCCTGCCACTCGTGTTCCATAATTCGTTTGTACGTAATTCGGGGGAAGCTGAATATTGAGACTCTTCGTCCAGCCCTCAGACCCCTTTGGGGGAATGACTCTTGTGGTGACGTTTGGATTGTTTTGTTAGGCTTTGATAGGGGGATTTTGAGGTGCTGACAAATTCATCAATGAACCTTTCTGAGAGGAAGACATCCATGATCCCCCGACTTTTAGCTTTACTTTGTTGCCCGACTTTTGATTCTTCTTGGGGGATATATGCGAAGCCTTCCTCAAATGCATGTGTCGCGGAGTGTATACGTTCATCGTGTTCGCTATCATAAACTTTATGGCTTAAGCCCAAACAATGNNCGCCCGATAAAACATCGGGTGGGCTATTTAGCCCGGGGGCATTGACCTGCCCCTATGCCCGGGAGAGAGAGAGAGAGAGAGAGAGAGACAGAGAGACAGAGAGACAGAGAGACAGAGAGACAGAGAGACAGAGAGACAGAGAGACAGAGATCGAGACCAGCGGGGTTGGCCTTCGGGCCGGGGGTTCCTGACCCCAGACTCCTAGCAAGCAAGCAAGCAAGCAAGCAAGATCGAGCCCATGCTTTCCCTTGCTTCACCTTGTTATGTCGTGAAAAATAAAGCTCAGTTGGGGACTTGCTGTTTGCAGTGACAATGTTGACCCGAACTGGGTGTAAGCAACTCTTGCTTTCGCAGGTCCAGTCTGTTGTTTGCTTGTTCGAAGGGCTGCAGGAGCCTTGGCCGAAGTTTGGCAGTGAAACAGCACACTGCTGCCAGGTGCGGTGCATGTCGCAGGGTGCTTAGGACATCTTAGGGCGCCGCTGTGTGCGGATGCAAAGGGGGGCACTCAATGCACGGGTTATAAAGGAAGGAAGGAAGGAAGGAAGGAAGGAAGCAAGGAAGGAAGGAAGGAAGGAAGGAAGAGAGCTAGCAGCTAGATGCGAACATGGCGAGTTTGTCCCCTCGTCCGTGTCTTCTTGGAGTGTCCGTGACCCCGGGCTGTCATCATCATCACGGCTGCTACTCTGCTCACTTTGTCTGCAAATCTCTGCTCTAGTCAGGGGCCTCTGGAGGGCCATCCAACTCGGGGGGGAGGGATTCGCCAGCGAGTTCTGCGAGTCGCGGTAGCGGCGTTGCCTCTTGACACTCGGATACGCTGTTGCCTCGTACTTAGTAGCCGGGACCTCAGGAGAAGAGGTGAAGTCTGGCACACACCGGGAGCCCGACCAGCCATCCAAGGTGCACTTGCGCTTTGCATTCAAGGTACACTCGGAAAAAGATCCTAGGTGCACTCGCATGTCGCATCCGTACCGAAAAAATCGAGCTTCCGTCCCCCTGCCCGAGTCTGTCCGCGCCCCTTGCCGTGCCCTCGCACGTCCCTCCCGCACCGTAAAAATCAGGCTGCCGTGCCCCTGCCCGGGTCTGTTCCTGCCCTTGACATGCCCCTGCCCCTGCCCTTGTTTTTGACAGTCGCAGAACAGTGATCTCAGCCGTCTAGCCATGCCTGGAGCAATCGCCACTGCCGTAGTGAATCCAGCAGGAACCTTTTCCGCGAGACGAAAACCCTATGCGTTGAATCCAGCGAGAGTCTTTTGCCAAACAAGGAATTCCGGCAAAATCCAAAACTATGAACCTTAAACCCTAAACCCTCGATTCGAAGACGACAACTAACCCTGAGGAGTGAATCCAGCAGGAACCTTTTGCCCAAAACGAAAACCCTAAGGAGTGAATCCAGCAGGAACCTTTTCCCCAAGACGAAAACCTTAAGGAGCGCATCCAGCAGGAACCTTGGCCCAAGGCGAAACCTTAAGGAGTGAATCCAGCAGGAACCTTTTCTCCCAAGACGGAAACGCTAAGGCCCTAAGGAGTGAATCCAGTGAGAATCTGTTGCCTAGCACGAAAACCCGAAGGAATGAATCCAGCAGGAACTTTTTGCCCAAAACGAGAACCCTAAGGAGTAAATCCGAGGAGCATCTGTTGATTAACGGGAAAAATCTGAGGAAGTGAACCTTGGAGCCGGACAGGGGCACTGTAGCCTCATTATTACAGAACGTAAGGGACCCTGAGTGCGCCCTGGATTCAAAAGAGGCGTGAGTGCGCCTTGGATTCAAAACCGAGTGCGCCTTGGCTGTGCTGGCCGGGAGCCTAACATAGCCTCATGCCCCCAGTGCGCGAGATCATGCGGGGACAGTGCTCGCGCGAGCGGTGTCCGTTGTCTGAGCTGGACAAAGAAGGGAGAATTGCAACGTCTCGTGTCCTACTAGTTAACTCGCGACTCCGGTGTTCGACAACACGTCTGCCACAGTGCGAAAGCCATTCATCCGACACACCGACCGCTGCTACAGCAATTGATGGCAACGGCATGCTTGACATGGCCCCGCCAGAAATTTACTCGCAGCCGAGACTGTCCTCTTGCCGAGCCAGGAAAGACTGGACCACTGAAACATACTGGGTTCTTAGTGCATGTTCTTGGGACATGCCGGTAGCCGGTAGCGGGCGCATTTTTGGCTTGGGAAGTGCCACGGGTACATCTGGCACTGTCGTGATCAGTGTACATGTGCAAACATGTGGCGGATGCTTTCAGGCCCATGGGCCTCGACAGACCAAAGCGGGAATCCCAGGGCTCAACCAGAGAAAGCATTCATGGCTTCGCATCTTGCCAAGGCAGGACAGTGGCACAAAGAGATCGAGGGACAAAGCCTTAACGAGATTTCTTTTGCACAGTTTTGTGTGTGTGTGTGTTTTGGCTGCACTCAGGCTCGGCTCTCAACTGCACCCCTTGGTGATGAACCCAAGGCCGCACAGAGCATCTCTGAGAGCGTGTTCGGGCAGACGTATCTTTGACTCAGGCTGGCATGTGCAACTGGTGTCATCATCTGCGATTTGCGCTGCAGGCGAGCGAGTGAACCACATAGGCTGGAGAAGAATTGACGGCAGCTTCAGCTAGGAACATCCGAACATCCCACAAAAGTGAGTGCAAAGCTGGCTACAGAACCGTCGATGCAATGAGCGTCTTGCTTTGTCCTGATCTGGTTATCTTGGATGAGCTCCGGTGGTACGACGACATGTCAAGCATTGGAACCGACAGCATTCGAATTAGCCCGTGGCAGCTAAGACTATGCTGTTGCTGTTCCACAGGCATTGACAGGATGCTCACCGTCAGGAATGCCAGCCACATCGCTGCACGACTATCGTGTAAATTCTGCGAAAAGCCATGATGACAAATGCGTGGTCAGTTTGGGAGCGGTGAGAGAGAGAGAGAGAGAGAGAGAGAGAGAGAGAGAAAGAGAGAGAGAGAGAGAAGACCATCACATACGGGGGATTGTACACTGTTGCTATTTTTCACGCCCCTTCAAAAGCCCCACAAAAAGGGGGGCCTCTAAGGGCCAGGGGGTTTAACAGACCCCCCAATGCCCAAGATAAGACCAAAGCAGTAGGATCTTTGCCTACTGCTGTACACTCTGCGAAATTTGTCCTCAATACAGGGGTGAGAACTGCACCGGGCTGTGCTGCATGCGGATGTAATTACAGGCACAGATGTCGCGGATGCATGGGCACAGCAACGTCAGGGCAGCGACTTCTACAACAGCTCGTTCGCTTGGAGAGTCCGGCAACTTATGCAAAGCCGATGTGTCTCCACGCGTCTTGCCTGAAAGATGTGTGGAATATATCTTGCGACTACTTCTAGCCTGTGATCTTAGAGGACTGCGTTGCGTGACGAAGCTCGTAGTCCAATGTTTTGGCACTCCCGAACTTGGCGCTCCCGACATTGGAGTCGCTTGGGATGTTTCTGGGCGGAAATCGGGATTCCTCCATTGTTCCGTGTTCTGGCGTTCGAATCGAAGTCGCTAAAGTGCTGCCAGGGCCGCCCTGCTCGAGATCCGCATTGCTTGCACTTGTGTGAAGCGCATGCCCATGCTGAAGCTTCGACTGGGGTCGATGCGCCCGCCCACCCTCAGCAGAGGGCCTGTCGTTGACGTATGGACCAGAGACCCCTGCATCTTTGCCTGCCGCAATCGTGCACCTGCGACTGTGATGTGAAGATCTGTTTCTGCTGCAACTCGTGCGCCTGCCGCAGGGTGCATTCACGGGCAGGTCTTAGAGGCCTCCGGGCACCTAGCGTTGAGACTGTCAATGTTGATGACGGGGTCTATGCTGCAGTATATTGACCCCTTGCCGTTCTACGAGATCTGACATCGCCTCGCACCAGGATTATGATGCTAGCGCTTGCGGTGGCGCTTGTCCTCCCTGACCTTACCAAGCTGCTGGACGTGTCACAGAACGCCGTGAGCCTATTTGAAATCACGGCGTCGGACGAAGGTTCATTCTTGTCAATTGCATAGGTTTGGCCTGACTGTGTCTTGACCATGAGCATGGCGATGTTTATTTGTGAGCTGGTGGCACTGTCGCTGACCGACGCGAGCCTTGTCAGCAGCTTAATGTAGATCTACCTAGCCATCAACCGGGCCCGAAAGAGTAAATGCAGAGCAGAGCCATTCAAGCCATGCATGCAGTCAGAGCTGATGGCATCGTGTGGTTTGGTAGCAACGTCGCATTTACTCCGCGCAAATTGTGAGCACGCGCACTGTACTCGTAAGGCATAAGTCCGTTGCGCTCGGCCAAAACCGCATCGCCAGCTTGGCTCTGGGATTCGACCCGACGCGTTGCCCCATGCCCATTCCATCGCCTTTCAGCTTGATGCTTGAAGGTTTGTTCCCAGGCCGCAGGACTGGCGCTGCGCGGAAGGGAGGCTTTGGAACGCAGGAAGTTACCAGTTCTCAGTTGCCCCAGCTCCCTGCTAAAAACGGTAATGTCTCTGCCCGCCGCCTCTGCGATTTTAGCGTCGATGATGATTGTTGCAGGCCACGCCCGATACCCAAAAATCCCACGTCTTTGAAGATGCAAAAAGCAGAAGGTAGACGGTCTTGGATTTCCCGTGCCATTCAGCTGCAACTCTGATTTGTCCGTGGGTCTGGGAGCAATCAGCGGATCGACTCAAAATGCACACAGAGGAACTACCTGTTCAGCTTTTTCCAGTGCATGGACACGGTCGGGACAGCATCGATGGTGTTCGACATCTCCTTTCTGATGGGCGTGGACGTGGCTGAGTGTTGCACTGAGGCTTCATGCGACACTGCACGTTTGCCGATGTTGCTGAGATTTGCTGAGGCCCACACTCCCAGACCAAGACACTGCTGAGTCGCGCGTCATGCTGCTTCGAGCTAGCCGGGCAGCAAGGGTTGGAGCCCGTGACTGTGCTGCAAGCAAAGCAGAATCTCACAAACTGAGCCTGCGCATCACCGCAGCTCGATGAGGTGCCGGCAGGTTGACGAGAATTCTCCGCTTGTGCCGTTGTTTGATTGATTTAGATGATGAAGATTCGTCCGGAAAACGCCGAAAGATCGAGCAGTTGGAGCCGAAAGACGAGGCCACGCTTCTTCTCCTGCAGTCCCGTGCACGGCATTGCTCCAGAACTCCATGACAGGCACAGCATCCGAAGCGAAGCATTGCGATGCCTAGCAGCAGAACTCAGCCACACATGCGCTTTATCTTCCCGTCTGTGTTTCTATCTGTCTGTCAATGCTTCCGTGCATCTACAGAATCTACAGTATCTATCTTTCATGTATCTGTATTACATCCGTCCGTCCATTCATCCATCCATCCGTCGATCCGTCTATCCATCTACCTGTCTATCTATCTATCTATCTATCCATCTATCCATCTATCCATCTATCCATCTATCCATCTATCCATCCATCTTTCGATGTATCTACCTATCTGTTTAGGCCCTAGGCAGCAGAACAGCGCTTCTGTGCAAGTATGATGTCTTGGAATGTCCTGACCGGGCCCTTGTGCACGATATGTTTGCTGCACTGATGTTTAACTTGGCCAGGTTTGCCCCCATCCCCAAGCCGGCGTATTTTCAGTTTGCGGTCTGCGGTGATATCACATCCAAGGAAAGTCATCTCTGTGAAGTTGGGGAATCTGCTGGCCACCAGAGTTGCTTGCCTTACAATTTTTCTGGCTATGGTACGCGCCTCAGCCTTGGCGAGAAGCGCAAAAGTCATATGCTGCTTGTTCTACTGTCAGGTGATGCCTCTGTTTGATGTCATGGCATTCCCACAGAAGGCTCGCTGCCTGCCACGGCATGACAATGCCACCTTGCAGCGCACGCGCAAGCACTGACCAGGACTTGTCTTTGGATGCATGGGTTGGCCAGGCCTTTGGGCCTGGCATCTGGTAAGCAAGCTCTCCTGTCATCTCCTGTCTGCAAGGTCAAGCCAGGAACCCAAACCCCAGTGCTCAAACCGCACGCACTGGCAAGACGACAAGCAAGTGTTGCAGCATCAGCTAACACTAAATCCGTAATTGTAAAGTCCCCATCTTACTCCAAATCCCGAACCCCACAGCCGACGCTGGGGCTAGACGAGGTTAGTCAAGTTAAGAACTATGACCCCAGCTTAACCCACTGCTGCCTGCAACTGTGTGACAAACCCAGGCTCGTCCTAACGAAGAGCGAAAACTCGGGCAATACTCAACAGTGACCAGCAAGCATGGTTGCATGGCTTGCGCCAGTGCCAACCAAGCCCATCGCCCAAGCCACTCGATTCCAGCACATGCCCGAAGGAAGCTCCATGCCGTCGCCACAGCCCCCGTCGCCGCTGCCCCGTAAAATTGGGTCGCCCAAGTCCTCGTCCACGGGTCGTTGATTTCCGACGAACCCGACATGCACAAAGCGGGGAGTTCCTAAGTAGGATACGTAGAGAGTCAGCCGGGCGAAATTGGGTGAAGCTTGTATAGACACTTCCCTGGTGTTGTTTGAAGTGACTCCTTAGACTGTCATGAACAGGGGTCCGGAAGGAAGCAAGAAACACTGGAAGAAGGCCACACCTGGAACGGATCATTCAGTGTCCAAAGCGACCAAACTCATGCTCGCCGCTTGCTGGTTCACACACCACTGCCGGTAGTTCGCGGCCGCTGCATGCCGAGGGTGACACCCCGGCAAAACGAAGGCGCTCCCAAGCCCGCAAACGGAAATGCAGCCTGCCCCCTCCGCACATTACCTTTCAGCTGCATGTGTCGGCCTTTTCTCGCTGCCGGGCAGATGATTGGATTTTCATGTACAGCAGATTTCTGCAGTCTTGCAGACCCTTATTATCCCTCATTGTTGCCCCTGAAGCCACGTAGGTAAGCGCAGAACCTCTGTGGACTTGTATGCACTGTGGATCGTAAGTTCGGGGTTCTGAGGCAGCGGGGCACCAAATAAAGTGCATAAACCCTTAGCTTACCGCAAGCTCATCAGCCCCTACATGGGCCTACATCACACCAGAAGCCTTACACGACCAAAGCGAGTTTTGGTTATCTTCAATGGTCGCAGCAGGTTTCAGCCCGTTGAGTTCGAACTTCGACTGAAAAAGTCAAGGTCGGCCGGTAAGGTTTGCCCATGTTGAGGCTACGTACACATTTCCGTATATTTCCTGAACAGAATCGACGCGGCGAAGCGTGAACAGTTTTGCTCTGTGGGAGCGAGGATACAACTCCTTGACACGAGCGCTCCCTCATCCACGCAAGAGTCCGGAAGTGACTGCACGCGAGCCAAAGGAAAGCCTAAACAAGAACCCAACCCCCGAGGTTTTTTTTTGGAAAAAGTGCTACATGTATGTGAACACACTATCCAGGCCCAGCGCACCAAGTGGAAAAGACATAACAGTTGTCCTTTTCCAATCTGGATTCGGCTTCCGGTGTCAACGAGCTTGGTGCAATGGGCAGACGCTAGCGAGCGAGCCGGGAATCCGGAAACTCGGCTTAGACCATCGCTCATCGAGGGAGACGAAGATGTAGTAGAAACTGACCTTTTTGAGTTCAGAGCAAAGAGAAGGCCGTGATTACAATGGACGAGTGTGCTTCTGTGCGGAACGCTGCACACGCATAGAATGTCAGATCTGTACCGTTGTGTTCCCGAGTATGGAACAGGATGTCATGCTGTGCATCGATGCTTCCGAAGATATGCAGGGGACACTGTGAATTAGGTTGCCGTATGGCAAAACTGCAGCTCACCAGACTTATGTGCATTCTTGTCAACAGCCGACAGTGATGCGAACTGTAGCATTTCTTCGCATCGGAAACTCCGCAACCTTTTTAGCTGTTCGTTTGATCGATGCCGGAGACCGTCTGCAACGCTAGAACTCCAAGAACCCCCACAAGAATGAAACGGAATAATAACAGATGAATCAGCTACTATGCCCAGCCCGCAAGCCACAGCAAGAACGGCAGGTTTCATACACGAATGAGCACGAAGAGGCAGCAACGGTTTCTGAGCATCGGCCCCAGACGTACTGAGGCACAGAGCAGGCGTAGCTTTCTTGAGAGTTGAATGCAAAGCAGCGTTATAGTGCATGTCTGGAGCCGCCAAACCGCCAGATTGGGCTGTTCTTGATAGTGCTGTGCAGGGCAGTGGCTCCTGTCACTGTTTTACCCATAGCTTCCGGTGCTGTTCAGTTCCCAGTGATCTCACCACAGCTTGGAGCTTCACAGCTGCCGGTCTTTTCAGGACTCGGCAGACAACTACAGCTTCCACTGTGCAGGCAATGACGAACCCTCGCACACCCTCTTGCGGCGGCGCTGTACACCACATCGCACGAACCAAAACGCTGGACAGCTCCGTGTCGGGTGTATCGGTTCGGTTGGGTTTGGCAGTACATCCGTCTCTCACATGTACATGCGGTGCTGCACAGTTGCATTTGTTGCCATGTGCGTGCCGGCATGATCACAGTGCTTCTGCGTAGTGTACGCAGCCTCGGTGCCGGTACATTTGCTGTGCCAGTATTCTCGATTTTCGGGACGGACCGCCCGGTGCGAAGAGCTTCTGCTGCCTGAGGATTACAGACATGTCCGTCCAATGAAAAAGGAGAAAGCCGCTTCGTCATAAGAACGTATGAGGAGGCGATCCAGCCGAAAGCATCTGAAAGCTACAGGGATGGACGCGATGAAAGGCGCTTGCGCAAAACCACGTTGCATCGACTTGAGCATGCAGCGGTGCCTGATTGCGCATGTTCTACCAGTAGCAATATATCTCATGTTGTCAATAATCTCCGACAGTAGTCAGCTTCGGGGACCATGCTCAAGCTCAGCGCAGCCTCGGCAGGCTCCGACTCCTCTCCGAAATCCTCGAAGCAAAAAGTCTGGCGGTTTGGGGTTCGGTCGGCTGCGCTGGGGATGATGTTCGACTTCATCACCAGACAACGCAAATAGTAAGCCTACGCTTACCCCTGAACTCCCCAGCTTCGAACCTTGCTCCTAGTCCAGGTCCATGTAGACTTAGTACTACTGATAGTACCGTGCTAGCTGCTAGTTACTACTAGTAGTATTTCTCCTGGCTGTAGTGGCCTGAGTAGTATGGGTATCATCACTACTGGTGATACTGGTAGCCCAAATAAGACGGTTAAAGTACATTCCTGGTTACCTGGTTGTTCCCCGCACCCCCCGCCGGCCGCACAGCTTTTACCGGCAGGGAGGCTTCCAATGATGTTCAGCAGCATTGAAAGCATCTTAATTAGTCCTGTTCCAGCAGCGCCTCCTACTTGTTGAATCTTCATCTAGTGTGTGTGGCGCATGGTTCGGAATATGTGAGTAGCATTCAGTTCACAGCCATCACATGGACATGGAGCAAGCGGGTGGGGCCGGTGGTGCTGAGGTTGCGCAAAATGGCAAAGTTCTTCGCTCATCACAGACACGGACTTACCCAGACATATCCTTGCATCTGGTCAGTCATTGACTCATTGTGGCTGTTCGAAAGGCTATGGGCCTTTCGCTGCATGCAAAGGGCATTTGGTACAAGACAAGTTTGTCTGCAGCGAGTGGTACGAGGCGCTGAACTCGCAGCATGACGCCATTTTGCCTCACTGCATTTCGAGAGAGCTTGCTGATCAGGACTGGGACCAGGTGAACTCTGCACCTGTCCGGAACGCATCTGCGTGGATGGTGCGCACACCGACTTTCCAGGTAATCTTCGACATGAGCAGGTGCCGTCTCCACCTCCCCCCACTCCCGCCCCTCCGCCGAATGGCATGTAAGTCAATCTGTGTGCCAACTTGTGAGCTGGGAAGGCCTGTAAGAGTGAAAGCTGCGGTCGCCTTGCTGAGCATGCTCTTTACGGTCTGGAACCCAGAATGCTCGAATGGCTGCACGGCATTGTGGAATTTGGGTCTGATTTGGGCTTGTGAACTTTTCAGGTTTGCATCATGCTTTGCTTCTCCATCGCGCTTTCATCAGTGGTAACCGACCTGGCAGTAACGCCTCTTGAGCGGATGCTCGGGCCAGCTCCCTACCTGAGAGCAAGATTGGTGCAAAACTTACATGCTATTTTGTGCTTCACGTGTCAGGACGGTGCGAGAGATAGCCGCGACAGTGTTTCGATTCAGTCAGAGTCTCAGTCGTGTCGCTTCATGTATATTGCTTTTTGTTCGTGCTGGATGTAGCATCTGAGGTTCTATAGTGATTGGTCAGCAAGAGGAGGAGGAGTCCCAGTCGGAGACTACAGACATTGATAATGCCGGTGAGATGATCTTGCTGGAGAAGGTCGGAGGCTTAGAATGCTAGGCAGGCACGAGGGGTGCTCGGCTGCAGGAGTCGACGTACCATCAGCAAGCCACTTGCTGCACGTCTTTCCACCGTCAGGCTGCATTGCTGTCACAGATCAGATGTAGACTCCTGTCCCCACATGGCGGGCCCCAGCCGAAAGCAAGTCCTGGAGAAGTTGCAGCAGATCCAGGAGAGCCGTGGGCGCGTTCTTCTGTTTCGAAGCTACTGCTTTGCTCGGCTCTGTTGCAGCACGCTAGCGCCACTCGCACGCACAAACAGCATCACTAATACTTTTTCCGGAAATACTCAGACCCCGGCCATTGAGTGCAGGAGCTGAAACAAGAGGTTACTGCACCAGAGGAGTCAGGAAATTTTCCACGTGCCACCGGCCTCTCCGACCGATGTCACGTCAAGTTCGAGGATGGACATGAGATAGAAGTTATCGTGGGTACATCAGAACACATCCAACAGAGTCTCATTGAGAGCATCTGTCGAATAGTTGATGCCGCATACTCTGGAGTTGGGAAGCATAAGCGCCTCGATCAATACGATGCCGTGGACCGATGCTTGGCCAAAACCTGGAAGAGTTAGATGTTGTTCGAGGTGCCAGAAGCTTTAGCAATACCACCCCCTCATCTGATGCACTGGACTTCAGTGTTACAGCGGCTGCTGCGGGGCTGCGTAGCCTACAATAGTGTTCCTGCAAACGGCTGGAACTGCACTAAGCTTCCTTCTTCAGGCCTGGAAATGGGCGATGCTGGTCCTCAGGCGAATCGAGTGCTACATCTTGCATTCAAGGACCGTGAATTGGTTGGCTGCGCGAGCTCAACATTCAGTTCCGGCTGGACACCTGATGGATGTGGTCACTGGGGGCTTCTGGCCGTTCATCCAGATCATCAGAAATCTGGGGTTGCCACGGCTCTTGTGATAGCTGCGGAACGCCGTCTCGCAACTATCTGTGGTGGTGTTCAGATTGAGTACCAGTACACGGAGGGGGACGATTTTTCGCGAAGGCTCCGCACTGCGTAGTGTTCTTGTTGCCACTCTCATGAGCTGTGCGTTAGTGGATACATAGTTACATAATGATACATACAGTATCCTCGATTTCCGTGATGATCCTCTCAGTCTGGCCTTTGAGGTTTCTGTGCAGCTTCGAGACAGCAAGCCAGGCATGCCAGCGGGCAGACACACGCGCACACATACGCACACACGCACACACGCACACACACAAACAAACAAACAAACAAACAAACAAACACAGACAACACACCTTTTTGCTTTTGAAAAGTAGGGGCTACGAAACTGCACCACTGACATCAAATTCGGCATCAATCTCCGAGATGAAACATAACTTTCTGATCGGCTTCGCTAGGCTGGTTTGTGCCGGCAGGACCAAAGCACTCGAAAACAAGACGCCCTGTTAGTCAAAAGCCTAGGTCACGGGCCATGGGTTTCATTATGGAAAATCATTCCTTTTGTGTCACCCGCTGGACCTTGGCATGATGCTTGGGCCACAGATGCCCTGCGGCGGAAGGATGCACTGGTCCCGTGTCAGCATGATTGGCCCATGGCTGCACTCATGTCATCATCGTTGGATCGAGTTGGACCGTGGATTCTGTGCGGTGAAATGTCAGGAACTTGTTGCTTTCCGCCCAGCGCTGAAGTACAACCGAAAGGGTCCCCAGCTCGGACACGTTGCAGCGCAGAAATACCCTTGAAAATACCCGAAAAACCAAGGATGAACTGAAGAAACACTGGTCATCGCCAGGCTTTCTCGGCCGCCAGGAGCTGAACAATACAAAACCGGAGGATTTCCTGTGGCCCCCTGAATCAAATGGAGTTTTTTTTTCTGCCCCTGGTATCCGTCAGCCTCACGAGCCTCCGTTGGGTATTTGCACACCTTTGTTTTGCCGTGCATGAAAAAATCCAACGATTTGCTGGTTCTCTTAACCTGGGACTGTTACCCCGCCTTCTCCTTCTTCAAGAACCTCTTGGCTACAGATTCTTTCCTAGTGACCGCAAACGTTTTACATGGGTTCACTACCTGACCAATATCTGGATCAAAAGCATCCACGTCATCAAAAGCCCCAGCTAGATCATCCACAGCTTCCTTGGCGGTCCACATCTTGGCATCGTCAATAAACGAACGGCAGGAAACATTAGTGGCAATTCGTTGGACATGTGCAAACGCCGAATAAACAACGTTCACCACGAGGACCGGCAGAGAACAACCCTGCACTGCGGAGCTTGAGGAGAAAACTTTTTGCCAAATTTAATTCCAAGCTTCCACAACTTCACACGTTCCGAATAAAACCCGAGCGCAGCTTAAAACACCTGCTGAGATAAACCCAACCGCTTGACAATTCCCAGCGAAATCTCCGGCATGAACATATCGAAACGCTTGATCTTATAAGAACACTGCAAGAGTATCTGGTTCATCGTTGTGAAAGTCCACAGATAGTTGCGCTTTTGACTCATCGGCATTCCTTTGTGTATGGCCACCAATGCGGCTTGGGGGGGGACAAATTGCAGCCTGCCATTGTAAGAGATTCTTAAACCTGAAAAATACTACAATGTGCACACAACCGATGCTACGCCTATATCTCACTTTATCAGGGGATAAGGAGTTAATAAACAGGTCAAAACGACAGCTTTTAGCACCCAGTTGTGTGCTCTGACATCCACGCCGTGATTTGTTTTGCACTTACGCTGACACATAAACCCAGAACCTTGCATTACCACTGACGAGCCAGAGATATGTATGTGAGATAAACATGCCTGCATGCACTGCATGCACTGCATGCACTGCATGCACAGCAACGACGACGACAACAACAACATCAGCAACAACAACAACAGCAACAAACCGGACCTCGAAGAAGGATGGGTGCAACATCGTTGTTTTTACGAGGTCGCACCCCCATCATGTGTTATGAAGGTGCACGCAGGTGCGACCATGTCGCCTTCGAAGGCAAAGGTGGGTGCGACCGGGTGCGACCTCTGATGCAGTTTTTCAGTGAAGAATGTGCAGCAGATTCAAGCAACGACAGCCCTTCAAGGTTCGAGTGCAAAACAGCAGCCCGCTTCATGGTAGCGGAGCCCAAAAGGCTCATAGCTGTGCTTTAGGCATGGCTGGCGTCGAAGCTGGGCAGGGAGGCGAAGCTGCGGCCGAGAGGGTCGTGAACGTGGGGCCAGGAGGGCTTATCGACACGAAGGCCTATGGCAAACTCAGGAACTTCGATGGAAAAGAAGAGAACTGGGCCACGTGGAGCTTTGTGGCGCGAAGCTACTTTACCCTGCTTAGCCAGGATTTCGACGCGCTCCTGGACGCAGTGGAGGCACAACCTTTGGGAGGCATGCGGTTGTCAAGGCTTTCTGTCAACGGCGTGCTGCACTCTAAAACTTTGTACCACATTCTGGCCCAGAGTGTGGAAGGAAAGGCCCTGAGCATCCTCATGAATGTCGAGAAGCAGAATGGCTTGGAAGGGTGGAAGGCCCTTGTGGACGCCTACCAGCCGGACCTTGGGGGAAGGCACACCAGCATGCTGATGGGGATTATTAGCCCCTCTTGGGAGAAGAGTTCCGAGGCCACCTTCTTAGAGGACCTGGAGAACTGGGAGGTGCTTATCAGGAGGTACCAGGACCAGGCGACCGATGTGGTGACCTCGGCGACGAAGATAGCAATCCTCATGAAGTATGCGCCCGCTTCTCTTAGGAACGCTCTGCGCACCAATGCCACGAACATGGGCACCGACTATGACAAGGTGAAGAAGTTTATTCGAGATTGGTTGCAGAGCGGGGTTACCTATGGAAGCGCCGGCGAGATCAAGCCGGGAGGCCCGGGCGGTGACAAAGGCCCGGCACCCATGGACGTTGGCGCCGTGGGCTATGATCCCAAGGGGAAGCCGAAAGGCAAAGACGGCAAAGGCAAGGGCAAGGGCAAGAAGGGCGACAAGGGCGGAAAGACGAATCCGCCGGGCAAGCCCTCCACGGCCACCTTCCAAGGCGAGTGTGGTTTCTGCGGCAAGTGGGGCCACAAGAGGAAAGACTGCTGGGCAAAGCAGGCCAAGGAGAAAGGAGGGGGAAAAGGCCAAGGAGGCGGGAAGACGACAGCGGCTGTTGGAAGCAGCCCGACCAGCCCGACGGCAACAGCCGCAGCCGTGTACTATGACATCAGCGGCGGCGAGGCTGGGGACGAGGCCGAGGAGTACGAGGACGAGGTCCGGTGGGTCATGGCAATCGGCACGGAATCCGTGGAGGTGCCCGACCAGAACCAGGACGACCAGCCGGAGCTTGTCCTTTACGACTCGGGGTCCGATGAGAACGTGTGCCCGTACCACTGGAGCACGGACGCCTTCGACGAGGACAGCGAGATCACCTTGAGGACGGTGGCAGGCGGTTTGCTCAGCCAGGGTCGCCAGAGGAGGTTGCAATTCGAGGTGCTCACCGTGGACGTTTCAGGTGAGCCGGAGCTGTGTGAAGCCGGTGGTCTCGGCAGGAAAGCTGCTGAGAAAAGGGTTCCACCCAACTGACCAGAGCTGGGGGCTATGTGTGGCACCCCGGCGGCCTGCGCTTCGAGCTGACGGTGCGGGGGAACTCGACCTACTTCTGGGTGAGAAACGTGAGGGCGGTGCCGGCTGAGGGCGCGAGCCCACCAACGTCTCCAACGGCAAGGGTCAGGACAGCAGCCCCGGTGGAGCAAGGAGGCGACCAAGAGGAATGGGAGCAGGCCGGCCAAGAGCACGCGGACGCGGAGGCCGAGGAGGATGTGATCCAGATCGGGGGCGACGTGAACTTCGAGCGGCGCGGCAAGTCCAAGCTCACCCCGTTCGACAAGGTGGAGAAGCTCAAGGCCCGACTCAAGGAGCTGGGCCAGCCAAGGTACGGGAGCAAAGCCGAACTATGGAAACGGCTGGAGAAGGCGGAGAAGGAGGACTCAGCGGCAGCACCAAGAGCGGCAAAGGAGGTTGCGAGAAGGGACGGCCGAGCCTGTGGCA